CGCAACCTATTATTATTAATCCTTATTTCCACTTCAACTTTCTCGATCGATTTTATATTTATGTTAACCCTGTATTCTAATAGTCCTCTGATTAATGCTCACATGCATCATTGTAATGTTATATTGATTAGTCTTCATGACAAACTAGCTCAACTGATAATAAAAACTGGTCGTCTATATTAACTAATTAGCTTTGATGGTTTGTTAACAAGCTGTAATAGTATTTACATGCTTCAGCGACATAGTCTTGTTTAAACATCAAGCTCTAGCAAATATGACCTGTAAATAGCGTAAATATACATTGACTAACAATGCGATCAAGGACTAAATAGTTATCTGGATCTAATTCTCAGTGTTCCTTCACTTAACACCTCATCCTGTTTTAAACGATGCACTATCCTGTAATATCTTTTCTTCCGACCACTGCCTGCCTAATTTCATGTTCTCGAGTTCCATTGCCAAACAACGAGGATGACTTCTCCAAAAACATACGGTGAGTTCCAGCTATGGTTCGTTCAATGACAACCACTCAATTATCTGGGTTCATTCGATTGTTCTGATCCCAGCGAGTGGCAAAAACCTCAACAGCATCAAGGACTCTGGAATTAATTGCCATACTGCATGATTTATTCTGGATGCTTTTGGATCAATACTACTCACGAATGGCGTTATATAAGTCGTCCACTGAATAATCTAATTTTCAAAAATAACCCAGGCGAGTTCAACTATTTTACTTAATGATTTTTTTTGTACTTAACATGTATATGTTTTTCAGTTGCTTTTGCCATATATTTGTAAGTGTCACTAAGCTAAATGCAGTAACTTCTTATGGAAGGTTTATAATGCATCATATTCCTGCCTGAAGTTTCACAAGCAGTCTTAACTTTAAAATTATTTTCTGGTCATGTTCATTATTTTTAAGTTTTTATATACGTCAACAACCTGCATGTTAACCTGGCCCGTACATGCGTTTTACTATATCTTCATATCTTTTGAATTTAGAAATCATCTGAATCGCCTTAAACATTTATCAATAAACCCATCATAGTCGTTGTTGCTAATCGTATTTGGGTTTATGGATTGGTATATCATATTAGCAGCCTAAAATGCGAACATAGTTTAGATAATAAGATTAAAAATTTAGGTACTATCAACTGCACTAGTAAAATAACTAAATCCCTAGGTAGCTGTTGGCTAAACAAACGTTTAAAATCAAAACTCTGTAGCCTACTAGAATTAACACTAAACGAATCTTTCTGAATTAAAATTTATAATTAAATTAGGCGTCTCAGATTCTTTAACGTTACAAATTTCTGATAATCTTGAATCACAACAATACCTATTTTTCCACTGACTAATCCTCATTCAACACTATAACTAGTTAAATTTAATAGTTTCAGGATATCGTCATAAAGCATTGTCATAACTTGACAATCACGTAATATGATTGATAAAATTAATGAAACTATTAACAAAATCGGTCAGCAAATTGACTTATAATTATCACTAGTGTTGTTTTTCTTTTATCTTCATTCACTACAGATGATTACAGTATGTTTCTCTATCAGTTGCTTATTCAGTAAATATCTCAAAACCTTGTCAGTCTAATTAGAGGTTTAGCGACACAATCATGCATGCAAATAATCAGTATAAGCAGTCGAGCAAATCTCCTGCAAACTGAAAACATCAATGTCGAATTTACCCCAACACTGACTAAGGTTCAAGCCATTATCATAGACATGAGTTGGGAGTGTACTCCCCCTGGTTACAACTTATGTTCTCCCTGATAATCACATGAGCATCACTCACTATTAATCATCTTGTAAAAACTTATTTAGCTAAATACATCTTGCAGCACCACATCACTTCGTAATATGACCCATAGGCTTAACTGATTTTAATAACTTATAACCACTATATCTCAATTAAATCGTATTCCGACTTATAATAAACTGCATTCTTGCAACTAATTTGTATGCCCAATCAGCCGGCAAGTATAAATACAAATAAATAGTCTGCCACAGATCAGAACATTGAGTCTAGAGCATGTCTCTTACGAATACACTCATGTTTAACAATTTGTTCCTAGCTAACTGTCCAAAATTCATATAATCATCACTCACGTATTTAAATATTGTTTTGATAACCATTCATGTGTATTAGTAGTATTACTAAATTCTATCACGGTCAAGTAAAAATGAGGTTGAGAAAATCTCCCCGTAACTAAATAGACCGTATCAAACTAACTGGAACACTAGTTGGAATTCTTCTCCACGGTATACTTTTGTTCCTTCAGTTAGCCTACTAATACAGATGCAATTGGAATTCAACTCATATGGACAACTTACCGGCATAATCGTTATTTGATTTCATAATTTAAACCAAAACTAATACCAATATTAACATTTCTACAATATTCATCACTAATATTTCTAAACACAAAATACATACTATTTCTGAGTTAAGTTATTAACCAACGGCTATTATTATTATTATTATTGTAACCCCATTTTTTATAGCTCAAATAATCTTCACTCAAATTTTCATTTCAAGCGTTTTAAGCATGAAGGCAGATATTTTAAAATTCTTACATGTATTTCCCGACCAGATGCTGCCGCTTTCTTTTTGATTTATCTTTCAGCTTATCAATACACGGAGGATCCTTACTAGACTTGGTAACCTTCGGCGCACGACGATCCCATCCAAATCGGTATCGAACCAACATCACGTTGATTCTGGTGGGAGAGTAGTGTAGTGACATTGAACAATAACCGCACAATCCACTAAGCTGAACACGAGACTACTCAGAAAATAGATATTCAATATTTAACGCGGAGAAATACCTAACAATGGAGAAGGCGCAGAGAATGAATTGAATGGATTGAGTTGATCGAGTGGCATGGCTCGGCCATGCAGGCGTGGTCCCTGCTGGATGTTATCTTATATCTCCTATTCATATTAAATATATTGTTCTTTCTCTAGCCTAACCTTGTTCCTCATCATGTATTGGTAATTGATACGATACAGTGAGTTGGTGTAGTCGATGGTGTGACTTCCACGTAAGATCTTATAGATTAGGCAGTTATATCATGACAAATCGACAAGTTTAGGATTAGGTTTATTATTAGAGCAGTACTAATATCATAGTAGACCATAATTCTACAAGCACATGGGTCATTTGAAGTCACCACCCTACCATCATGTTTACTGGTCAGTAATCCCACTCTCTCTTACCGTTGCTCCATGGTTCGCCTATAGACTGACAAAATATTGGCTAGTCCTGCTGTATAAAATGTATCTTAGCTCATGCTAACAAGGACTGAACTCCAAACTCAGTTAGGGACTATCTGATCACTTCTAAATTGGCTTACAGATCACGATGATCAGTGTTCTGATCTACCGTTGTCCAGACTTCCACATCATCTGCCACTGTTTGTTTTTGTAAGTCGTCGACACTAAGAGCTTAAGTTAGTCCAGATAGTTCAATATTTATTAACGCTTTTCGTCCGCAGATACTAAGGAATTTTCCGATCCACTTTTGTATGGTGCGTGCAACTGTAAAGTTGACAAGCTTCCGAATAATTCCTGAGTGAGAAAATTTATTGAAAACTGTGAACACGTCAACCGGTGGGAACTCGGCCTGTTTGCCCACCACTACTGCACCGATAAAGCGGAAACGTTTATTCTGAAACCCAAGGTGATCGGGAGCGAAAAGACCATGTGATCAAACGCCACCTAACAACTTTTACTAGATCATATTTCATAATACTTTATATACTGTGCTAACCAGGCAGAAATGAGCCCACTTTTCCGTGAGATAGGCCGACGATGACATCTCCCAATTTATTATGAGGTCCGTAAGGGAAAGGGATATAATGAACAACACAATGAGTGGTTCTGGAACTTTATCCTCAACGAATGACGACTATTGCGAACCTGAATTATTAGGATCCGGCAATTCAGTGGGCTGTAGGCAGCTGCTTGTTTGAAGAGCACCTTACTGAGTTATGAGCCGTGGTACTATGAGTCGTGCATCAGGAGCACAATCAAGAAAAACGTTATCAGCAATATTCTTCGAGTAGACCTCGGTAAAACGATTCAACAATTTTTTAGCTTTGGCCTACTTAGAATCAACTATAGAAAGGGGATTACATGATCTTTAAACCACATCAATGATTTCATTATGCGGCTTTCACTGTTATTCGGAAAAAATTATCAGCACAAGCTTTTGGCAGAAGTAAGCTATCTAAATATCCTCACACGTGACTGATGAGTGAGAATAAATTTCGTTCTCATCCGCAGTTTCGACATCGAACCGCGAAACTACCCAAAATTAAATGGAAATTATTAACTTGTAGTTTCTGCTAGCTTACATCGAAAATGCTAAGATTTCACTCTGAAATGCTGCGGGTGGGTCAGGTGAGTAGGTACGAGAAACAAAGTGCGACCAGCCCAGAATGGGCCAAACTATGGCTTACAATAATTGCTGTGCATCAATCGGCCCTGACTTCGACGAGGATCGATGAACTGTTCGATATTCAGTGATTCGACCGCTAGATGATTTAAGTAAGGCTCAGCGACATTTCACTAGTTCCACAGATCTACACTAGTAAAACTCGAGCTTCCAGTCTTTCCATCACTGCTTCTGCAATAAGTCCTGACATTTGTGATTTCGTCGATGTTCTTTCCTTTCGTTATTAGGTTTGATTATGCAAGGGAAGATGTACTGTTAAGCAGAAATCGATAAGTTCCAAAAGACTCTCATTTTAAGCTTCGCGTACTTTGGAAGATTTTTGTTATTCGAGAGAAATGATAACTTTGTTAAGAGGAGATCCACATCAATTATGGTATTTTAAAAACTTTACAATGCCCTTAGGTATGAGCAACCTAAAAAAGTAAGTTAATATATATAACTCGACGACCCAAATCGCGCGAAATTCAGTTTTCACCGTTATTTTTGTGTTCAATTTTATTGTGAACGGAGGAGGTAATTTTGATTTCCCGGTCTATCAACTAACATTCTCTGCACTTTACGTGCAGATTTCTGTGCTAGTTTATTTAGCTGCCATCGCTAAACTGACGTTTCCCTATACTCTCGGTGACAGCATCCTATCAACTGCTGTATCTTAGGAAAAACTACATAATCCTACGAGTGTGGTCTAGACCACATATAGCTATGTCTCACAAAATTTCTAACCTAAATGTAGTCGGACTTGAAGAACCATCCAAATACATTAAGCCATACCGAATGAACTTTATCCAGGTAGGTATGTTGAATAGTCAGCATACCATATTTTTGTATGTTGGTTATTATTAATGAGAGCGGCAACCCAAGCAAAGGGGAAAGGAGAACATTCCCCAAGATAATAGGAGAGAAATCGAGAGGAAGCGCTCCGAGAAGTTTCCTTTCTTGCATGCTATGAGGATGTAGTGCATTATTTGTCCATGTCACCGTGGTTTTGAATTCTTGCCGATTCATACTTCGTGTTGCGTACTAATCATTTTTAGAGACAAAGTTTGAAGAGTTCAATAGGAAGATCACATTAATGCAGAATAATGTGTAAACGTGTATTCTTTCGGTATTTTTTCTGGAATAATGGTTAATCATTTAAATGGTGAGACTATAATTTATGGACGACCTTTGAGCGACGCTAAAGAGACTATGAGAATGTCCACTTACATACTACGGCTAAATGAGGGTTATAAAGCAGTGTGCAAAATTAGAATTATTATTTACAGTTGGTAGTTAGAGTTAGGAATCAGATAGGATTTCATTACGAATTGACATCAACAAAATACCAAAACTATTTACTCGAATAAATGAATTAATTTCGTCCATAAATTATAGTCTCATCAGTTAAATTCTAAATCATTTTAGTATTAGTAGTAGTACCACAGTACTGGCATGTTAAATGAATGGATCAAACTGAGTATTGAAGAGCTTGATATAATATTAAAGTTCAGGATTTGGTGCATGACAGAAACCGAGCACGCTCAGTCCGCCGTTATGATTTTTATATGTGGTCTTATGATTGATTAAAATTGGCTTACGGAGTCCATCGACGAAATATGCAGTACACGACTTAACCCAAACCGGTAGTGTTGTAAGACGTATACAACGTATTTGGTCTGACCTTACATATGAATATTTTTGGCCAATCGCATCAGTTTCTCCCCTACATTCCAGTCCCCCACATGTATTTTCACGATTTGTTAAATGAAATGCAATCGCATATTCACTATTGGTTAGTGAGTTTTGTCGTAACAATGTTTGAGTTTCTGTCACTTAAGTTTGATGGTAACAGTTCCTTGCTAGTAGATAAAAATCACGCTGAAGTAAAGTAATCGATCTTGCAACCACCATGTTAAATTTATTTTAGATCCATAACAATACTTGTTAATTCATATTGTCTTCAATTATTTTGGCTTATAGGATGGTCGGCAACGCACATGGGATGGTATTCTAGCACATGATAGGTTAGTTTACTAAACTTCCTGATTACATCCAGTGTTTCAATACTTCTGTATCATTCTGAGAAAAAGTCGTTACTTTTCGTAAAGCAGTTTCGCCCAGGTATGTTGAATTCTCCACCTCTATTGCACTTTGGTTTTCAGTAGTCGTTAGGATTTTATGCCGATAGTGATGTTATCTCACTTATTTCTGATTTATCACCCATCACAGTTATGTTTTTATACAATTCATGTTCCATTTCTTGATAAACTTCATATAGAAAGGTTGTTTTGTATATTAAGTGTTTTCAGATTCATAATTGCTTAAATTCCAGCATTTGGTACTTATATTCATTTTTCTTGGCAGGGCCTTGAACATATTCTCTTGGCAAATTGGTTGATCAAAAACTGTATAATCAGTCTATCGATCGAAGCTGATTTAGTTTAAAACATCATCACTCTCTATATAACCAGTGACATCCCGCGAAATTTAATACCCTTCAGCCTGGTATTTAAATAATACTTTAGCTGCTTTCCTCTCAGTAAATTTCAAAATAATTATCGAAATGTTGCATTTGTACTATTATTATGTCGTTTTCCGACCGAAACATCACAAAAAAGCTGTTGAGTTGGTTTAACACCAAGTTGTACACTCAAATCCACATGCGAAAAAGGATTTGACCATAAGCTGCTTTTCATACTGTACTAAATAACCAAGATGGGTTAATCAGTAGAAGTGTGTACAGAAAAATTCAATTGTTTCTCGGTACATGTATTTCACTTGTTTTTCATCTATTCCATACTCATTTAGAGCTTACTATGTGAAGCTAATTGCCAAGCAACTTAACCAACAAGTTACTGTGCACCTTAGCTTGTACTTGAAATAAAGTTAAACAAAGTCAGTACATATCTCCGTTTTTTTAACAGGTGGATATTAGCTGTTTGGTAAATAGGACTAAAGCATCATGGGTCATTTACTGTTTCGTCGTGTTTTGACAAACTGTAGTTGAAACTTGTTCCCCTCACATTATTGAGACCATAGGATTTCCAACCATTAACCGTGATTCCTGTATTCTGAAAAGGTTTACAGTACCGCTGCCCTAAGATGTTTTAATAGGCCCTTTACTAGTCTCAACCCTTTTTTATAACTCTTTAATACCGGTCTATTTAAACTTTGATTTGTGACATACTTCGTCCTCGAGTGTTACGAAAGTTTCTGGTGATTATTCTCTATCTACATTAAACCCCATTACGTCCGCCACCATCACATTAGTCACCTACGCATTGTAGTGTTAACTCACGGAAATTTTCATTGGGTGTGAGATGTAAATAGATATGATTAGACAATAGTTCAAGCTAATGGCTATGCTAATAATTACCTGCATGAAAACTTCCTCATTGATTATATCCCTTGCCCTCAAATGCCTTGGTAAGGCCGAGAGTAGAAAGAGTCAATCCTCCCTCTCGAAATGCTCTCACATGTCCACGTGCATACAACCACTGCCACGGAAATCCTACTCACTGCCTTTTCGAAGCGGGGGTGTTACTTACGAAATTGAGAGGACGAAAAGCGAATATCTGGCGTTTTAACCGAATTGGTGGACACGGAGAGTCCACCTAGGGGGGGTTGGAAAACCCTGATCCCAAACCAATAGTGCACATGGGCTCCAGTATCCTGAAGGGACAAATAGCATATGAGCCCATTGTTGATCATCGGCTACCATGGGACTGCATCTCATGACGTTGCTTCACTGCCTTGAGGATCACACCTTTAGGTCGAAGGCTCTGGGTGTGACCCCTTAAGGAAATCATTTGCTTCGGTTTAGGCACTCGAGCAGTATCCAAGCCGTCACACAAATCGAATGGTTTATGTGGCGCATATATATTTGGTGCCTCTTTGTGACAAGGTTTGTTTAAATAAATAAATTATATCCCTTAACTCTTGCTCGACAGCTAACAACATCGTGGACGGGGTTTCTGGGTTGATGTACAGTAAGATTACAAACATCACGAACACCTGCTATCGTGGATTATGAGCCAGTTGGATGTGATTTGACAAAATTTCCATAACTAACGAATAATGATGCTAGTTTTTATGCTCCGAAGCTTAAGTTTTCTTGAAATCTTATATATCCCTTCTATGACGAGCAATATCATTTACAAAGTTCAATGGTTCTGTAATGAAGCTATGACTTAGTGGTTGAACTATTCAGCTTTAAGTTTATATGTTAAACGTTCGGACCCAGATTGACGTGTTTCCACTTAGTCTATCATATAGTATCACCATCCCTCAGGTAGCGGTCCATAATTATTTATTATTATTATTATTAATGGCTTTATTCAATATTATCTTTTTGGTACAATATAGAATTCTCAACTGTACCAATATATACCTAGTAAGTGAGTTACATTACCTTCGGAGTTTCGTTTCCGATAGTTATTAAAAATGTGTTCTGCTCATAATCCCCCTTGAAAGCCTAGAAAATATCAGCCATTAGCTTTATGTTCCTCTCAGTCGTCAGTTCCAGATTTTGTAAGTTTCAAGTTAAGTACAAATATAGAACGATGTGCTAAATTGGATCAGCGGGAGATCCACAATCTTGTTTAATTACTTGTTAAAACTTACCATGACTTTAACATCATTTGATGTCGCAACCAAACTTTGTCCCTGAGTCATTCAAACTATCGTAGTAAGAAATGTAGAAATATAATCATTAATGTATTTTAATTTTGTGTTTGGCATTTTCTCAAATTCTGGAAGTAGTTTAAAGCATTCATTATATTTCATTTTAGTTGTATACTATTCAAAGTTGAGAAAGCTTGGACTTATCCGAAGTGTAACAGATGGTCCAGTTGAAAGCAGTGAGATTAATCTCCCATCTAGCAAAATTGGGGAAACATTAGAACTGTGTGCTGGAATAATCGATAGAGTTCAAAATAATCCAAAGTTATATGCTGTTCAAGAGGTTTTGGAAGAATGTGGATATAAAATCAATGAAGATTCCTTGCATTTAATAAATTCGTTTTAGTAAGTTACCTGTTCATGCATATGATAATTTATGGCTCTTAATATTAATACATGAGGTGAAAGTGAATTCTGTTCATGTTGCAGCTTAAGATCAAAAAGTCGTTTTCACTTATTATGTCATTAGATTAGGCGTAGGTTTCTTTTTGTGTACATGTTAGCTCTTTTTAATACATGTAATCGGTTTAAGAACAATAGATGCAATTTTTTCATATGGCTTATTGACAAATATTAAAAATAGCTTTTCGAGAAGTGTTATCTCTTGTAAATGTATCTCTTCCAAACACTGCGATGTTGAAAGAAATCAAAAATAATGTTCATATTCAATTGTATTTTAAGCCAATTTCCTGCTTTTAAAATTTTCCTCGCTTAGATGATTAAAAGCTCTGTCATTTTACAACTCATTTAACAATTCATAAACCCTCAATTAACTCATTTCGTAATTTCAAGCACTGTCATCCCTTTTATTTAAAAAAATTATGATCATTTATAGTCAATTAACTTGCATATTGGTTCTCTAGAATTAATTCATTTTATTTTACAAACCTTGTTGTCCTTTCTCTGTTTAATCTTATCAAGGGATCTGGTTGTATGAAAACGTTCAACTCTGCTTAGGAAAATTACCTATTGCTCCTTGCGAAAATTTATCGATGCTGAAGTATCGTAGTGAAATTAAAGAATAGTTTTCGAAAGCTTGAATACATTTGTTTCTCGACAAAATTAATAATTTTGATGTTCTGTCATTAGTCCTTGGATTTATTTTTGTCTATTTGTCCAATGTTTAATCATGAAAAGAAAAATCATCAACTTGTAGATTCAGTTCCCGGAATCATATAGGCAACAGGTTGTTACCATTGTATGATTAGGTCCCAAGAGTATATTGGTATATCGTTTTTTTTTTGGTAAACCATTTGTATATTCTAATATTATACCCTTGGAATTTTGGTGGAAGGCGTCTTTTAATAGTATGACTTCTAAAGTTAATGGTTTCTAGCCCATCTTGTATGTCATCAGATGAAATAAATGGGATGATCTGAAGAGCTTGTAGTGGCAGACAAAAATCGACATAACTGCAAAAGTACAACTATTGACTGAAGTGTTCTAAAAATTCACAACCCATCCTATGATATCCAAACAAAACTGGAGAATGTACAATTTTCATAAATTTCAGAATACATTCAAGGTTGAATGCAATCAAACTACTCAGTCAGTCAGTCAGTAACAACGTAGAACTTCGTACGTACGTACATCAGTTCGAGTTGCCATACCACATTAGCACAGAGATGCAGTGGTCGATTCAAATCCCGTAGTGGTAATCAAACTAATACATATTTATTATTGATAATTTCAGTGAACAGATCTGTTGTGCAATTTTCGCTTTTACTCTTCCAATTTAGATAAAACTAGTTTTCACGAAATCTCTGTTTTGAACTAATGCGAAACAATGATCTTAGAAGTAAAAGCACATGTTTTCTGACCAATGTATTACAGATTCAAACCTTACTTTACTTAGCTCATATTGTGGTATTTGCTACTTACATTGATGGATATAAGTAGTATATAGTACCAATCGGAAATGGAATGTATGCCTACAAAAAATCGGGAAGATTCAACTGAATAAAAAAGTTGGTAGTTGTAATAACAACAGAATTGAAAAAATCATAAAGCATGTAAAGGATAACTGATGGGAGATATGCAAATTATATATTCGATGTATGGTTTTAATATTTTACAAAAAACACTGTAATTTTGCATTAAACAATAAATTGGTCTTCTCTATCTGACTTCTCGTTCATTACAATACTAAATAGTCATATAGTAAGTATCATTAGTCCTCACAAAAATCTTATTAACAAAAATTGACCTTTATACATTTGTCGGTATTTTTGACAAAATCAGTTCATTTACTGGTAATCGATTTAATAAAATTGTCATCATTGAAATCTTTTCGTATCAATACACAATAAACTATGAGGACGTAATGTTTCAAAATAACATTGATGATTTTATGTAAACCTTGTGTCGTATTTAATCTTCGAAATTCATGATACTTTAAGCTGTACACATTTATACTTTACAATGAAAAATGCTCGATACTTTATATTTTTATTTTTGTGGAATTTTATATTCTGGGTCAAATGACATTGATTTATATTTAGTTACAGGGAATCTGTTGATAATAATGATATACATGAATTTCACTTGTTTTATTTTCTAATTTTAGTTCAAGTGTTGGATTAGCAGGTACTGAAGTAACTTTATACTATGCTGAAGTGCATGAAAATCAGAAAGTTCCTAACGCTGGTGGTGGATTACATGAAGAAGGTGAATATATTGAAGTCATAGAATGGCCTATTTCACGAATTGAAGAACTATTTCAAAATGGTACCAATGGTACTCATCAACAACCTACTTCACTGTCATTATTGTATGCAATAATGTGGTTCAAACAGAATATTCTGCCTTCTTTACTTTTAGAAAGTTAGTTTTTTTATTGACCGAAATTAAATTCGTATATGTGAAGGAAGGTAGAAGCTTACAAACAATTAGATTTATTTTAGTCACTTCATATTATAAATGTGTCTTACTGTTTCTTAGTTGAAATCATCATCTTTCATCGTATGAATTAGCCAGCAATACACTTTTCTTTATTCTTTCACTTATAAAAAACACTACCGATCAAATTAAAATTATTTCCATCTTTCTGTAGAAATTCAGTAGGTTTGACGAAAATTCTATAATCTTGTGTTTTCTCTTGGAAATATTTTCAAGAGATGATATTTGGTCAATGTTAACAACTATTTGTTTCTTCTTTATGCAATGTAATGCTTTTAAGACATTCAATCAGATTTAGCTAAATAGGATTTCCTTTTTTTTAAAGTGTACTCCAAGGTAAGTCTGTCATCACAAAACTTTTATTCTTTTATGAATAAACATGACTTTCATATTGTATCATCTTCAGTCAAAGCTACAATAAACTTTCTTAGTGCATTTTGTTTTCCTCGATTGTTGTAGGCTGGATTAGTGAGTTATTGAAAAGAGTGCTTAATTCTGTTATGAGTATTCCGTGATATTGTGTCTCACCTTTGAATCTCATAACTAGGTTTATACGTAACGGTTGTATTTAGTATTTTGGTTCCATCGTACATCAGAAATTAAGACCTGTCATGTTTAGATTTAGATACGCAATTCGGCATCTTGTGAATGCATATTAGATAGTCGGTGACAGTATAGTATAGGGACGAGGCAATCGAAATCGAGAATGTGAATTTTAGACCATTGAGCGGAATTCAGATATCACGTTTAGAACAGATGATTGAAAATGAACTTAACTTCGGTTCGTAATTCTGGCAGTCAAATTGGTGACCACTCAGAATAAAGCGGAAATTATCATTCCCAAAATCCTAGTAAGCGATGATGATCGGCTTGTCTCGTTCTGTTTTTCTACGTTGGCTTTTTGGTGTCGCTGCAAAGCTTTCTGTGGCATAGGATATCATTCATACGTGTAATGCACGTGTCCGGTGTAACACAGTCTGACATTGTGAAAAAATAAACTCACAACAAAAATCACAGTATAATCTAGTTTTTTAAATAAAAATCACGTCGTAATATGATAAATTCATTGACTACGTGAACGTTAACATGACCATTTTACCAGTCCACGATACACTTATTGACGTGACAACGTTGAGCATTGTTTCACTTGATGAAATTGTAGAAGTACCTTTTTATATTCCCGAACACGTCTAAAATAACCACAAAAGATTGCTTTCTGTTAACATAGAGTAGAAATGATAGTGTTGGACGTGCCAAATACCCAGTTCTGTTTCCATGGATTGTATTTGGCGAATCGACACTCCGTAATGCCTGAAATAAGTGTTAATCTGATGCTACCATATTTTATGGATGAACCAGTCAGATAACATGCCTTGCTTTTCTTTTCTAGATTCGTTCACCCATTTTGGCTGCAGGATTATTCCTGTTGTCAATTTGTGATTACAACATGAACCCTTGTCCTTAATATCTAGTCCTAACAAAAACCAATGTATGGACTGACAAGTTTATTTGAATTATTTTAAGGATTGAGGAAAACAATAATCTGTATTCATGAGAACAAGTTTTTATGTCGTTTTTTATAATTTACAGGATGATTGACATGGAGAGAACTTCAATAACTTTAGTGTGTAAAATCTGTAATTTATGACTAAAATAATCGAACAGGCTTTATTAGGTTCAGACTTATTATATACAGGTGGATATTATTATGTGGAAACTCACATATAGAAATATACGAATTAAGGTTAACGCTGTCACCACCGCCTGTAACATGCGGTATCCACATGGGAAATCTGTGACCGATTCGTTCAACAGCAATGTGAGCACATTTTAAAGCATAATTCTGACAATTTACCAAGCTGATAACCCGCTTTGTAACAAGCAAGACTAAATGTTTACAAATAGTCAGTCTGTCCAAACTTAGCCAAGGGTGACTTCTGCCAGATATGTAAGTAATTGTAGGAGCTATTTTTATCTCTTCGGGTTAGAACATTACTCCTCGGTTGTCAGGATTCCCTATATTTTTGTGAAGTAACTCACATTTTCTTGACATTTAAACAATTACTGCTTATGGTTGGTCTTAAAAGTTCGTTGTCGCAACAGTGTCTGTGCTTTCTGATGAAGGTACTGCTCAGACGTAGTCTGCTTCACTTGTATTATATTTTTCCGCCTATCAAGACCCATAAAAACTGTTCCGTACATATTTTCGAGGTATTATACAAAATTAGTTGCTTGTAAAAATTCTTTTCCATATATTAACTGTGGCGTGTCACTGTATATTCTCCGATCCAAATCTATTAGTATTAGCTGGAATTTAACATTTTACGGCAATTATAAAAACAGAACTTTGACCACATGATGAAACGACCTCTAACCGTACATAATAACTAAGAAGACCAACGGTAGACGATTTTTGAAGGTTGAACAATGTAACTTTGCTTGACCATCATTCCATTACACACCTGCGAAATTCTTTGCCTTGGCATTGCGAAACAATTTTCTCATTTAACTGAAAAAGGGCATAAAATCGAGTTCTTGTGACATCAAGTGGTTTAGAAAAAGCAACAATCGGATGTTCCTTAGACATTTCGAAATTTCACAGATGAAATTATTAGAGGACTGAACTTCGCTGTCTTCTGCGTATATGCCGTCATTCTTCACTCATTTCCCAAACATATGCGATATCTGTATTCACCATCCATGCATTTTAAATATTATGTAGATAGCCTTACCAAGTCTGTCTTTGATATTTCTTCCGTAGAACTCCTGGGATGTTATTTCGGTCCTTTCTACGCTGAGCCGTTGGGAAAAAGATTCGAGGCTGTGCAAATCCACTCTCAACACATTTTTTATAGCACTAATCAGTTGCTGTTACTCTTAAATGAAAACTTCTTTATTTTGACATTCTAACTGCATATTCCAGCGCCTTTGGTTATAGATGGAACTGTTCTTAGTTGTTTAAACTGGAGCTGTTGTCTCCTTTTTGGCCAATTTATTCGGTTTTAGATTATCAGTGCTATTTTACATGACCTGTAATCCTGACTTTCTTCATTAAACTGATCTTTTGTATTATCCATAAAGAATGGAGTTGTCTCCCTTTGATTAAACTAGGTCTTTTTCCCTTGATCGGTAAATAATGTGTATCGTCCGTCAATTTATCCAATTAGGATATAATTTATTGACTAGCAACCTCGTAAAACGTTTCTAGAGGCTGTATGACCAAGCCGGATTGTTCGTTTCGATCATTCTGTATGAGTCATACAATTTTTGTGATTGGGACCAAGCCAAACCTAATCACTCTTTCGAGCTTATCAGTGGAAAAGAAAGCGCGCTCTTTGGGTCTGATGTGATCTCGTTGATCGCTTACCATTAACTGGAAATATCAAAATTTCACTGCTAGATTGAGATATATAAACACTTTCAATAGTGCGAACCATAACAACAAATAAGACAACCATAATCATACCAACGACATATCTGCAGTAGTATTTGTCCTAACCACACATTACTCATAGGTGAACATTAGATAACTAGGAAAATATAATTGCAACATTTAGCATTGGGAGAAGGCCGAAATAGTGAACGCAGGAACGTTCATTCAGTCAGATAGCACGACTCTGCCCTAAAGGCGTGGTCACTCCTGTGTAACTTACATCTTTTATTCATTTTGAATGTGTTCTTAAGAGGCGATATACATTATATTGAAGGCTCTTATGACAGGACGAGTTACAATAGAGAATGTTGCGACTTCTACGTAAGATCTTTTAGATTAGGTTTTCACATTATGAAAAATCTGTAGTTTTGGGATTAGGTCTATTATTATAGTAGTATTAAAACCGAAGCAGACCATAATTCTGCAGGTCTACCTGTCTCGACCAACTTTTCGATTCATAGTTTCTTCAACTGCAACAAGCACACATCCGTTTAATTGTAGATACAGGATATGTGCAAAAGTTATTTGATCCATGTTAAGTTATTGGTTAGAAAGGTAGGAGAAAACGTTTAAATTTCAGGTTTCTTCCGGGTTCTATTATTGTGTAACATGGATCCACTTACTTATACTATTTTTCTCCTTCAAAACTTCCATTCCGAGAACTTTCTCCTCGAATTATACCACATTTTACTTTGAGCATGTTGAGTAGCATGTAAAGTAATAACGTTACCACCAATAACTACATCACAACTACAAGAACAGCTAGCAGAGGTTGAACTCTTATTTCAGTGGTTAGTAAGTAGCCGAAAATCTTCACTTTTAGCAGCAAGATTATAAGAAGGCCCAAAGGCACACCGTATGAAGAGCCTCTGAGTAATTTGTACAACATGGACTACTCGACTTAAACACCGAAACAGGTTCTTCAACTAAGTAATAATGATCAAATTACTAAATAGCTTCCTACTCTCAGGAAAATCAAGAGGCAAAACAGAAGTTGGATAAAATGGCGTCATAAACTGCTCAGAGTGCAGCCTACTGAGGAGAAACAACACAAAAACAATAGCTGTATCACTTGCTCGTCGCTCGTGAAACCAGGGGCTCACATTTATATGTAATTTTTGCAATGACTAAGCTCACTGTTGCTGTGATATTGTAGTACCTCGGAAATAGTACAAGTTCATGTTGAGCAGTCCAAGTCTGCGGTTTTCGTATTGTAGCGGTAAATAAATCCCTAAAATCAATAGCTCTGTAAGTCTTCGACATTGTATGCTGACCATATTCGTTTTCATGAACTTACCTAGCTGAAGGCGCTCGGTCATGCATCCGCACCACATCACGAATGGAAACGCCGTGCTCGACATCCCCTACAATCACTAGTCAGATTAGATCAATCGATCCTCGATATATTGATAGCCTATCAAATATATCTTCGAACCTCATCGCTTCTGTCTTTTGTTTTTACTTGGTGGGTACGACTGATAATGGGTGTTCATGGGTAAAGAGTTTTCAAACTCCAAATACTTTTGGCATCTTTTGTACATTTGCGCACAATGTAGAAAAAGCACCCACCTAACTAACAAAAAGAATCCTAAATCCTTGTGGGGATCGAATTTGGCACTCCCCATCAGTATATCTGAATCGAAAATCACAGGTGACTTGACTATGAGAGCCACTATCCGAGCTCACGCAACAGTGGCCAAGAGGAATAGCTAAGAGATGGCTCTCAAAACTCTAAAAATTGGTGGCAAAGACGTTAGTTAAACCTTCCTGATTTTGTTTGGTGTTCTAATGTTGGAGAGTAGCTTATTAGAAAGTAGGTCAGCCTTTGATAAGGAACAGTCGAACAAATACTGAATTATGCCGAACAAGAGCACCACTTCAGCTAAACTGGCCAATCCGCTTTAAGCGGAAAGCTGTTTAAAAGCCGGAAGACGGATTCTGCTATACGGGGAAGCTAGATGATGAAATTATTCATTGGTGGCTCTATAATAACGTTAGACAA